GTATTCATGTGTTTCCATTTCAAAATGGCAGGACACTGGTTACCAGTTTTCAGTCCTGGATACTTTTGGGGTGATATGCAGGGTTGGGGCTTAGAGTCATTCACTCATGTCCTAAACCCACAAAGTATAATGTATTATTTTGACAGTTGAGATCAATGGGAAGTTCCTCCTTTTCCTGCCTAACATCAATATTTGTTCTTTATGTTGGCTAAGATATGTAGGAATTGAAGCCCTGAACATCTGAGGACTACAAAATTGCCTATCTCAGCAATAGGCTGAACTAATGTTTATATATACAGATATCTTTCATGCTTTCTTTTTTAAACTAAAAATCACTAACAAGAACATTTAAATAGTCAGGCTCTGGCCCCATTGCTGAAGGTTTGTGCAAAAAGGTAGAGCTTGTAGAATTTCAAATGAAAAGATCATGTAAGAAAGATAATTAGATAGAAAAGGATATTAGGCTGAAGCAGATTGTTTACTTCCTTTGATGTAGCATAGAAACATATGCCTGTAGAATGGGCTGTGACGCATATTAAACAACAACAAAAATCACCATTATTAAGTTTGAATCAAAGTTCTATCATTACCACATTAATTTAATTAGATTTCAGAGATTTCAGTTCTAATTCTTGTCTTTGAAGTTTTCTTTCTTTCTTTCTTTCTTTCTTTCTCTCTCTCTCTCTCTCTCTCTCTCCTCCCTCCCTTCCTTCCATTTCCCATTCTGAATCAAATGATTCAGTGTTTGTTGATTCTTGTTACTAAAGAAATGCATGCTGAAATAATGTTGCTGATCTGAAAGATTTTAGAAGTACAGTATAGGCAACCAAATCAGGTCTATGCAAATTGCAACATTCAACTGAATAGAAACCCAACTTAACAACAAATAACAACATATCCAGCTTTTTGATTTGGTGGTAGAATGTGGTCAAGAGCTTAATCCAAATTATTCTCCAGGAACTTTGTATTATAGTTGAAATTTAGTTCATATCTGAAATTTAGTTCATATCTGCTTCAAGAGAATGGCAACAAGGTAGTAGAGATTTGAGGTAAAGGAATGATTGTCAGCCATCTTGGCTTCCAGGAAGAGAGACGTCTGCTGCTCTGGAAGTTGGTGCTTCATTTTTTTTCTTCCTCCTCCCAAGAGGTTGCCAGGTTTGCCTGTCTGCTATACTTCAGTTCTGTGGCATTGACTAAAACATCATACATTTGCTCCAATTTCATTTTGCTGCATCAAAGGAAGCACAGATGTTAAGAAAATTATGCTGCTTTTCTTAGACCTCAAAGATATAGGGAGCTGATGGTACTTCTGGAAATAAATGACATTCCTGATCTCCTACTGATTATATGTGTCAGGTGTCAGTTCCTAATATATCTTACTGCCAGTGCATTATTCCTGCACCCCATTGCACGCCAACTGCTGAGCATTTCTATGTCTGTGGAGGAATGTACTTTAGGCCCAACTCAGCAGGGGGGCTTTCAACATTGACAGGTAGGTGAGAACATGGCAGCAGCAGGGAAGACTTTTGACAGCTGGCGAAATAATCTGAGACCTTCTTCTCATGGCTGCAAATTAGGCTCCAAGTGAGACTCATCCTTTAGCCTGTGATCTCATCCTCTCTTTTGTTCCCAGGCTCTTCACCCAAAAAAAAAAAAAAAAAACCATAGATGCTCCATACACAGGCTAAAACAACTATAAAAATAGGCAGCTAGGTGATTTAGGGGAGTCTATTTTTCTGAATTCAGCAAACCTCACACAATTGTTGTGAAGAAGAGAGAAGAAGAGAACCTTATATATATGTGTGTTTTCTGAGGTTTTTGTGGGTGTTTGTATGTAGGTCTTTGGTTATTTGGGTTTTCTCCCGCGTAAAATTGGAAGTGTCTTGGTGATGTTTCGATGAAGTCCCATTTGTCATCTTCAGGCTGGTGTTCTCGGCTTCGTGCTTCATTGCTCCTAGAAGCACAAAGCCGAAAACACCAGCCTGAAGATAACGAATGGGACTTCGAAACGTCGCCAAGACACTTCCAATTTTATGGGGGAGAAAACCTGAATAACCAAAGACCTACATATATTTGTGTGTGTGTGTGTGTGTGTGTGTGTGTGTGTGTGACTATATATATATATATATATATATATATATATATGTTTTCTGAGGTTTTCGCGGGTATTTGTATATAGGTCTTTGTGTTCGGGTTTCTCCCGCATAAAATTGGAAGTGTCTTGGCAACGTTTCGACGAAGTCACATTCGTCATCTTCAGGCTGGTGTTTTTAGCTTCTTGTGAGCAGCAAAATTCTTGCTGCTCAAAGCAAGAAGCTAAAAACACCAGCCTGAAGATGATGAATGTGACTTCGTCGAAACGTTGCCAAGACACTTCCAATTTTACGTGGGAGAAAACCCGAACAACCAAAGACCTACATACAAATACCCGCGAAAACCTCAGAAAACATATATATATATATATATATATATATACATACATACACACAAACATACATACATACACACACACTGCCTTAAGTTACACAAAATAAAAGTGGAAATCATATAAATAAATGAATTCCCTTTTGTATTGTCTAGTTTATACTTGCAAGTTGGGATGACCATACATCCAATACCATACAAAGTACATGACTGTGGTCAGTGGAGGCCTTGCATTAGCACAATCCAATTCTGTTTATGTCAAGTTGGCTATTGGGATCTCACTGGACCTTCATTGTAATTATTTTATTTATTTTAAAAGGTTGGGATTCTTTAGAAACTTGTAGGATATGGCAGGAAGAACTAGGATTAATGGACAGAGAAACTCATAGAGATGCTCATATATTTTTCTAGTTCATAAATAGTTTGTTCTTTACTGTTTTCATTATGTAAGAAGCACCAGGAGGTCTAGGTGGATGACTCATGGCTGGAGGGGGTCAGACAGCAAATAACTTTAAAGTTGTAGCCCCAAACCCAGAAGAGATGTAAGTAAATGATCCAAGGAAAAGTGTAATTGTATGTGAGTGTCAGCAGTGAGGGAGAATTAATAATAGAGAAATATATTCTGTAATGATGAAAGAGAAAGTATTGAAACATGCATCCAATTAGTGGAAAGACACTGGCTTCAACTCTGATGGTGAAAAAATGAGGGATTAATAATAGAAAAGTTTGAACTTAAAAATGTTACTATCTTTCATTAAGCAGGTTTGTAAATTTTGTATAAAAATCCAATGTTTAGCAATACATTGATTTAAAAGTATTTAAACAATTCCTAAGGCAAAATAATCTTGATACTAGAAGTATTGATTTACGTACACTTAATGGTAGAACAAAATACATGCATTTTGTTGAATAACATAATTGTAAAACAATCCTTCTACACCTAAGTCACTCTAGCTTTATTATCAATAAATTAACTCTGTAAACTTCATGATACTGTTCACAATTATTATTGAACATTGTTCATTTTAGGGATTGTTTCACTAATGCTCATTATCAGATGAAACGGTCTGTTCTGAGAAGAAGTTGTTTATAATAATCTTCTTTTGTAATGAATTGCCCTATTTTTTAAAATGCTTTGATATTCTCTAGCATTGCTTTATTTTCAGGTATAACTTTTGTTTTAATGACTATGAAATACAACAGTGATGATCACAACCCATTTCTTGGTAGAGCTGGCATCCCTGGTAAAACCTGGATCCTACCATCTTTTATCCTCATTTTTGACCAATGTAGACATCATCTTTTCTGTGGGGCAGGAAGGACTCACTTTTTCCAAGATAAGCCATAGGCAAAATTGATATGCAAATCCTGGATCTTGTTAATGGGCTTTAGATGTTGGTCTCCTAGTTTGATCTGAATTGATTCAAAAAGCTCATGAACTACATAATACATAGATTCAAGCAGCTATCAAAGACATTCACAACCCTGCTGGGAGAAACCGGGTATTGATGAAAGAGAGAATTTATTGTGTATGTAAGAGAATTTCTTTCAAGGCTTATGTATTAAGGCAGGTTTCATGGCTCAGGGAAGTCTGGGGCTGCTTTCAGTTTACCCCCACTTCATTTTCCCCACTGCAGTCACACACTTCAATTTAGCCTTCATCACCATTAAATTGTTAGATGTTTTGTTAATGACATCACTCTTTTTTAAAAAATCCTGTTTCATTTTTTCCAGATGGGATTAAAATTATTTGTAATGATCTCTAGCTGAATCTGAAATGCAGGCTTTTATTTGCTTTCTCTCTCTCTCTCTCTCTCTCTCTCTCTCTCTCTCTCTCTCTCTCTCTCTCTCTCTCTCTCTCTCTCTCTCTCTCTCTCTCTCTCTCTTTCTCTCCTCTATTAGTTCTTTTCTACCAGCATGAATTAAACTACTAGATTTTGCACAGTTCTTTTATTACCTGTAGCCTTTCCTGAAACAGGAAGCTGGACCTTTGCAAGCGTAGAGATATCACAGATAAAACGCTGTTCTGTTTATAGGTACCATTCTATGAAACTGGGCATTTGGAGTGCTATATTTCCAATGGAATATTAATAACAATGTTCTTCAGATGACCTTGCAAATTATTTTAAATTGCATACTTGCACCCCTAAACATTTATCTTTAAATTACAGCTTCAGTTTTCCCATTGCCCTTGGTGAAAGGGTAGAAAAATTGTGGCCCTGCAGATGTTACTAAACTACGATTTCCAGCTGTACTAGCCAGAATGACCAATGCACAATACACGCTCCACAATTGGCTTGCGACAAGCAGAGTTAATGGAGAAGGCATAAGTCACAGTCATGTGATGTTTCACTTAACTGCCACAGTTAGTTGCTTAATGACTGAAGGGAAAGTTTCGCAGTGATGTGATTTTCCACTCACCAATTGCAGCACATAGTGATAGAGTTTCTATCCCAGTCACTAAACAAGGACTATCGGTATTTGGTCTTCCTTACCTTCTGGTTTTGTGGTATATTCATGATCCAGCAGTTAAAGAGGTTGACCCTGATAAGAGTTTTTTTCTGCCTCTTTTACAGACCTTCCACTCTAAGCGGCAGCCCTGTTATCTCTGATATCTCCCTCATCCGTCTGTCACCACATCCTTCAGGACCTGTGGACTCACCTTTCAACCACCCTCACCCATACATGAACCCCCATGTGGAACATTACTTTCGATCCATGCACAGCAGTCCTACTTTGTCTATGATCTCAGCTGCTAGAGGTCTCAGCCCAGCTGATGGTAAGTGGGTCACAGAGGAATGACAAAATGGCAGAGTGAAAGCTGGTGGCAATAGGGTGTGTCTGCACAATTATACTTTCTAGGTCAGGAATGAAGAAGCTTCTTGGATGAGAAGCGAAATGTCTTCCAGAAAAAAAAAAGTCCAGTTGCCTTTTGGAAAGCACCTTTGGGATTTTCTAGGTTAATTACCATTAATGTAAATTTCCATGAACCATAGTCCTTTTGGACAATAATAGCAATATACAAATCAGTCTAAATTGGGTCCACGTCGATGTTAGACACTTTCAAATATTATTCTGTTCCATTAATATTTTTTACATGGGTGGTATTGTTCACAATTTTATATGCAGTGCACAACTTTTCCTAATAGACAAGATTTTATATGTGATTATTTCTAGCACAGACTTGTATATGCAGTTATTTCTAATACATGCCTTTTAAAAAAACTGTCTTATGCATGCTTTTTGCATGCAAAGTATATGTTCTGTTATGAATATTTTCCCCTAAAAGTACATTTTACATGAATTTTTGCATGACAAACATTAGTGGTTTTCAGTCATTGTTGTTCATCTCTTACAAGAGTTGCGAATTGCACTCTTTTACTCCCAATACAACTGTCATGGGTTTCTTTTATACACCTACCAAATCCCACACGCTAATATTGCTAATAGTAATATTTCCAAAGCAGGACTTTACATTTATGAATTAGATATGTTGAAGAACGAAGAGATGAATCATCCTACCAACAGCTTGGCCTTTTGTTAATTGTGTATGGGTATATGGGAGGGATCTTGAAAATCATCTAGTCCAACCCACCACCCTATTTAAACACCTCCAATGTCCACTACTTCCCAAGGCAGTCTATCCATAAAAATATTTTTCTTGATGTCTAACATTGAAATCTGCTTCTTTATAATTAACATCTATTTTAATTGCATTATCTCCCTGCCTATATATATACAGACACAGGAATTCTTGGATCACACAACTTGAACCTTGCTGGATCATACAGGAGACTTTTTGGAACCAAAGCTGCTCTGCAGGTTCTTCCTGTATATGATCCTAGAATTCCCCATATTGGAGAATTGGAGGGTGGGTGGGTTGATCTTTGACCCTTTCATTTCTCCAACAGAAGGGAAATCAGACTGAATTTACATCATGGGTAGTTTTGGTCATCATATCTTATAAAGTTTTCTTCCCTTTTATACTTTCTTTTCACCACTGATATTCTTCATTTTCTTTTCACTATTAATATTATTCTATATCATATCTTGTTTGTAGATTTTCCAGTTCTACAATATCTTTCTTGGATTATACTGATCAGAAACATACACACTTAAGATTATATCATAGATTTCCATGGATTTTTCATTGTTTACTTTGTGATTCATTTCATGATGATATCCGATAAGACAAAAAAAGCAGCCAGACAAATTCCTTATTTATTTTTTAAAGGAAGTTAAAATATTGATAAAACATAGTTCAACAGGATTGGGTCATGAAGGAATAGATGTAGCCCTCACACTCATACATGCCTACCCTTGAATTGTATGCAATGCTCCAACACTGGAGGTTTTTAAGAAGAGACTGGACAGCCATTTGTCCGAAATGATATAGGGTTTCCTGCCTGAGCAGGGGGTTGGACTAGATGACCTCCAAGGTCCCTTCCAACTTTACTATTATTATTATAAAGAACAAGGGTAATCACAGCAGAGAGCAATGGTTCTAGTACAACTCATTGCAGCCAACTTGTCACAGCCATCTTGCCGTGGAACAACTCGTCGTGGACAATTCCACATGGGATAACTCAATGCAATAAATGTTAGCCATCACTGTTTCTTTGACATTATTTCCATTGACAAAAGTGGAAATAATGTCAAAGAAAAATAATGTCAAAGAAACAGTGACGGACAACATTTATTGCATTGAATTATCCTGCGTGGAATCATCCATGACAAGTTGTCCCAAGGCTGCAGCAAAAGGACCGTGGTAAGTTGTACACAACAAGATGGCCACAGCAAATTGTCCCATTCTGGAGAGCAATGGTTCAGTTTAAGGCCTTCTTCAGCTGGCCAGCAGCAGGCTGATGAGGAAGAGGGAAAAGATACTGGGTGAGATTCTCAAACCAAGTGACCAGCCTTGCAGGCCAAATGTTCTCTAGAACTGGTGTAAAGGCTGGCAGGGCAAAAGTTTTCACTGTTGCTCAACATCTGGTTATCTGTCTTCGTGAAGGAAAGCAAAGGTCAAGTCTTTTAATCAAGCTTGACTCTTGCTGATTTCCTGTCATGCCCACCAGATTTCTTGGTAATAATATGGAAGCATGTTGCCCTTACCTTCTTTCTGAACAGATTTGTTTGTTTTACTTTCCAGTCTGACCTCTAGATTACCAAGGAATCCGAAGGGAAGAATGAGAGGGAGGGGGCTACATGAAAAGTAGACCAGAAGTCACATGTCACCATTTGCCATCTATTACCAGACATACCTTGAGTATTTGCTATAGCTAATGTCAAGAGGAGGAGAAAAAGAGGAGGCAGATCTCTTTAATGGAGGGAAAGGTGGAAGATTTAAAATAATAATTGGGAATACTGTTAGCTATACTATTCATGTTCATTAATTTATTATTGCAAACGGTCTCTAAAAAATCAAAAGTAAGTGGCATCAGAATGGATTTCAATAAAAAAAGCAGTATATGGAAGATTCTATAGATTGGTGTTTATCTGCTACTTAGTAGTAAAGCCAAAAGAAAATATCTAATTTTCACTTCCTATATATCTGGGATGAAGCTAGAACTTCACCTGTGCAGAATAAGAACTGGATGATGCCAGACTTGTCCTCAGTTAAACAGATGTAATACATCTAGTAAAATCTAGTTTCTCTCTCATTGCTGACTTGGTTTTGTTGATCCCAGGGGCCTTTCCTTTTAGCAAGTGTTAAGCTTCCCAACTTCTGCATTAAGTAAGCTACAGATGTGTTTTATTGCTCTTAATAGTCTTTCTTCCTCTCAGTATGACCCCTGAATCTTCTTTCTTCCTGCAAAAGAAATGTTATGATTATTTGGCATTAGAAAGGGGTCTTGATCTTGGCTTTCAAATCTCTCTCTCTCTCTCTCTCTCTCTCTCTCTCTCTCTCTCTCTCTCTCTCTCTCTCTCTTTCTCTTTTCCCTCTCCCTCTCTACCCTCCTCCTCCTCCCTTTTTAAATAAGTTCAGTGTAAAATGGGTATAGAGGCAGGCAAGTTTGAAAATTCACAAATGGGCAAAAGTGAGGATAATTGGTTCTGGCAAGCTAAATGGTTTTCCACTGCCAGGCACACTAAAAAAAAAAAAAACTCTCATTCTTCCCCCCCCCCCATGCTCACACAGAGTGTATTAGATCCCTGCTTTAATTTTCTTATGCTGCTTCTCATTAACTAGGCTTTGTCTGTCTTTTTCTTTTGTAAAAGGCAGGATGTTAATTTCGACAACATTACTGCATCCAGAAGCCTCCCTTCCTTTGCTCCATTCCCTTCCTCCCCCTCTTTCTCTCTTTTTCCTTCTCCCTTGTGAACTCTGTATTCATACAGCAGGATTATTTTGGAGGGGGGGGTCGGTAGAAATGAGAGATTGTTTATAAATTTGTGGAAATAGAGGAATGTAGAGGGCCCCAGTCTGGTGACTTTTGTCCAGAGCAAGCACACGTCAGAGTTACAACTACACTGTTTTGGCAGGGAACAGGGAGATTGTAACAACTTCGCAGATATTTTGCGGTCTGGAAACATTTTACCCTTCTTCTCTCCTCTGCCCCCATCCTGTTCCCTGTGCAGTAGCTCATGAGCATCTGAAAGAGAGGAGTCTCTTTGGCCTTCCCCATCCTCCGCCAGGAGCCAGCCCTGCAGACTACTATCACCAGATGGCATTCATGGCCAGCCACCCGAATCCTTATGGGGACCTCCTCATGCAAAGTGGAGCAGCAGCAGGGGCCACGCATCTTCATGATTACCTCAGCCCTGTAGATGGTGAGTAAAAGACCCTTCTCTGGATAGATCCACGTTCAAGAATGTTCTTGCTGGAATGACCCACTTCTTGAGTGGGTGAATGACACTGTACCATCGATCATAAAAACATCCCTGGGTGCACGCACCTAGGTGTCTTAAGAAAGACAAGATTGTTGAAAGCACTGGGTTACTTGACATCCTCTTACTTCTTGCATGTGGCTGAAGGCCCTGTTTTGTAATATGGCACACATAATAGGACCAACCTCTGCCCCGCTTGCTTTTGCAAACTCTTCTTAAAGAATGTACAGCTTGTCTTGCTAAATCTCCAGTTCTTCTGGATAACAAAGACCCTCATTAAACTTGGCAGACACTGGGAAGCTAAGATGTGCAAATTGAAAGGGTCTGCCATGCTAAATGAGAGTGGGCACGATCGCTTTACAGTACAAAAACAAATGCTGGACCGCCTCTTCAGAAACTGGGAGGGACAGAGGAAAAAAGTTCTCATCTAGAGTTTTGCTTGCTTGTTAAACTTCATGCTTCAAACAGCTCCAGCCTTTTAAAACCAGTTAAGAAAGGGAGGAATTAGTTTTGTGGAATTTGTACAGGTTTTGTGAGGAGGATCTCCTCAAGTTGTTGAGAGACTACAGACAAGTCAGCTTAGCTGAAGCACTTTTAACAGTTTTCAGTGGAAAAATGCTAAGAACTTTTCCATTAAATAAATGTGACTAACAAGTGCTTAATGTGCCTGGATTGTATGCTCCAGCTTCCTTCCTTTCACAAATATATTTAAGGTGGGAACAACTGGAGATAAGGCAACAGTTGAGTGAGTTCTAACTGATGGCAATATTTGGGCTTAAGTAGGAGAAAGTTTACCAGGACTTTGCCAATACCACTGGGAAAAACCACTGTGAAACGCAGGTGTCTGAAGTCTTATGCGTTACTATAACCAAGTTGTAAGTTTAAGGTATCTTTTGAGTATAGTTTTGCAGGTTAAACCATGTGAGTGTTTTATAACCCAAAGCAGAATCTAATAGCATATTAGAGATCAATTATTTTATTGTGATATGAGCTTTGATAAGTAACTGAATTTTAGCCATGTAGGTTATTGGAAAGTTGATGAGTATACATGCTCATATACCTCTTGCTTATAGGGTTTAGTGAAATAAAATAGCACATAAATTTATTTTCCACGGTTCAGATTCCCTCATTTGTTCTCTTATCAAATTGGCCTCTCTCAGAGAGAGTATGTCTCCATACCTTCAGCTCATGGCTTCTCTGCTGATGTGAAGGCCACAGTAAACTACTCAACCTTTAATGTGCCATAGAAGAATTCACAGCAGGCCTCTGTGGAATAAAACTTCAGTTCCGCCCTGTTGCATTTATGTTAATTTCACGCAGGAGGATAAAACCTTAGCAACCTCCAAAGAAATGAGGTCAGCTTTTAAATCTGAGGAGGTTCATCTGTAACTTTAAAAGGCTGCTAGTACGGAAGGCTGATTTTTTTTTCCTCAGGCTGCCCTCTCCAAATAGTTCTTTGTGGCTCTGGTTTTCAATCCTTGGGATGATTCCCCCCCCCTCCTCCACATACACAAAAAAGTTGCCCACAAATGAATAACAATGGCTACCACTGTAGTATTTCCACTTTTTGTATGTCACACTTTCTGAGGATAGGCAATACTAGCAAAATCCAGTTGCATATGATTTAGTAACATGAATTCAAGGTCTTTGTGTTTCGCTGCCTTTTAGTCACCGCAAAAGGAGGAGGTATCAAAATTAAATGGATACCAATTTTAAAAATAAGTTAATACATGTTGCTGGTCATGGATGTAGCATCACAATAGTGTTTGTATTGTTGAAATTTAATTTTGCTGCACTCAACAGAAAGTCCAATGCAAGGTGTCTCTCAAAGTTCTTTCCTCTGATCTTTTGGCTAAAATGTTGCTGAGTCCTGGATTCCTCAAAAATCCCATTTACTTACACTGGCTTAAGGAGCCTTAATGATTTTTAAAGGTTGTCAGACAGCTTTTGTGTTGCTCAAGAAGGATCTTGGAATACTTTGAACTGCAAAACTAAAGGACTTTAAGAAATTGGTTTCTTAGGACATCACCTGTGCCAGAACATTGCATTTGCAGTGGGGTACAAACAAGTAGTGTGACCCTACAGAACAGGAAGAAAATAATAAAAAAAATACACATGGCAGCCACATGCTGTTTAGCAATAAAGGAGTTGCTTGATACAGAACTGTGATGATTTATTTATTTCCCATGCTTCAGCCTAAGTTAATATTGCTTCTGATTTGGTGTTCTAGGAATAGGATTTTACTTCATTTTCAAAAGCAGGAGCACAGAAGGGATATCCAACCATTTAGGAGTGAGTCCTGTTTCCTTTCTGATCAGGCACCAAAGAAGGTGAAGTGAAGCCCTGTAGGATAGCCTTTCACTCGCCCTTTCTGAACTTTCAGCTCTTTTCCAAAAGATTCAGAGTATTAAGAAAAGGCATAACTTTGGAGGTAGAAAAGTGTGTATGCATATAAACAGGGCAAGAAATCCCAGCAAATATGAAACAAATATAAACCTAAATAAAAATTAGTTGTACTTGCTTAAAGCTACTTGATAATGCCATTAACTAAATAGATTGCTTTAAAGCAGGGCTTTTCAACCTTTTCACCCATTGTACCACTTTTAGGATATGGCAATATTCGAGTACCACCAGTCGCCTAGCAAGGTGTCAAAAACTTGATGACCCCCCCCCCCCAAAAAGGAAAAAAAGTGATGAAGTACAGATAGTCCTCGACTTACAACAGTTTGCTTAGTGACTGTTCAAAGTTACAATGGCACTGAAAAAGTGCCTCCCCAAGGCACAGCCGAGTAAGACACCTGCCTGCCCGCCCGGCGGCACTCTTCCTCCTGTCTGAGGTTTTCATTGTTGTGAGCATTTTGTTGAGGATTGGCAGTGGGGGTGGGGTGGTGTTTGGTTTTTATTCCCCCCCCCATCTGCTGGGTGGTTGCAGCAGGTTTTGGTCACTTCACATGACCCTGGGACACTGTGACCGTCATAAATATGAATCGGTTGCCAAGCATCTGAATGTAAATCACAACACCCTGGAGATGCTGCAACATTCCAGCTGATTGCCACTTCTTCTGGGCTCAGCAGAAGCGCCAGGATCAGCGCCAAGCTCCAGCTACAGCCTGGCGCTGATCCTGGTGCTTCCACTGAGCCCTGACAGCTCCGAAGAAGTGCTGATCCTGGCGCTTCCACTGAGCCCTGACAGCCCTGCAACTCCAGCCATCTCTCATTCAGGCTTGTGCAGTGCTGCTCAGCTCATTCCCCTCCCCCGCTACTTTTCTAGGATGGTCACGTACCACCTGCCAGGTGCCAATGTACCACAGGTGGTACCCGTACCACTAGTTGAAAAGCCCTGCTTTAAAGAACAGAAATAAGTTATGTTTAAATCTGATGTTTCGTATGGATGCACGATTGTCCTTCCACTTATAAGAGTCTCCACTAAACTGGGATAAGCTGTACTCCAACTCATGGTGAACTTGAAGCTGGCTTGAAATGGAACAATTTGAGGTGATTTTTGGGATGGATGGATGGGACATTTGTTCAGGTAAACACCTTGGTATGGGAATACAGGGAAAATGTCATGATTGAGGGTTGACCGAAAGATTGCTATATATACATTGACCAATATATCTTTTTTTTTTGTAAAAAAAATTTTATTTTCAATTTTACATTACATTCATAAAAATACTTCAGATAAAGAGTAAAATAAATTTATACACACAACTTTGGTATTGCTCACCCATTTCCCCCCAAACCGCATCCACCCTCTAGCCTCTTCTCTCACTTCCCTCTTTCCCTCTTCTTCCTCACTCTCCCCCTCTCCTCCTTCTCTTCAACCTTCCTACTTACTTCTCCCCTTCCTCCTATCTTCTCACTCCCGATGCAGTCCAGGGGAAATGCCCGAGCAATTCATTTCTCCAAATTAAAACATAAATATTATATACAATAAAACTATTTCTATTTATCTGAGCTATTTAACCTCCAACCTATCCTCCCCCCACCCCCAACTTTGTAGTTCCATATTTCTTCTGAACATATTCTATCCATCTTCTCCATACAATAACATATCTCTCTTGTGAATGGTCCTTTAAATAAGCAGAAATTTTAGCCATTTCTGCTAAATTAGAAACCTTAAATACCCATTCTTCTAAAGAAGGCAGAGAGTTTTTCTTCCAATATTGACCCACCAATAATCTTGCTGCTGTTATTAAATTTTTAGGATCCAGATGCCATCTATAAAACATTTTATAAAAATTTTCCCTCAAATTTTGAGCCTGCGTAAATTTAACATTTCTAATCCAAATTACCTCCCATAAATCCAATGAAATCGGTTCCTGAATATTCTGGGCCCATTTAATCATACAATCTTTTACTAACTCTGTTTCCGAATCCAATTTTACTAACTCATTGTAAATTCTTTTAATATGAGCATATTTCTGATCTTTAATCTGAATTACCGAATTTTCATCTGCTAAAGTAATTCCCACTTTCTTATCTAAGGTCCATCTCTCCACTATTTGCAAATATTGAAACCATGATTGTAAAATATTTTCTTGCCTTAGCACATCTGAAGACTTTAGTTGCCAATCAGTACCCGACCAAATAAGTAATTCTTTATATGAAATATTATCAAATTGACCATTTGATCAAATTGACCATCAAATTATCTTGATTACTAGGATCCTTATGTAGCTATGTGGAGGAAGAACCACAATCTTTCTTGTGAACAACCGATTTTTTTTTCATTCTAATATATTAGTCAGTTAATTGGTTTTTACAGGTTTCCATTTCTTTCATCTCCTGTCCATTCCTTTCATATTTTGCTTCCTCATAATAATTTGCTAGCTTTAAGAGCTGTTCTAATCAAACCTCCCTCCCTCATTTATTTCTCCTACCAATTCTTCATTACTTTCAGTAATATTTTGGTTGTTAATTGTTTTGATTTTTTGTCAATA